TAAATTATCATTGAATCAAAAATTGTAAAAGGTAATCTTGAGATCCCATATATTAATCGATAATATCTACATATTTAAACAAATATACATCAATTCGTCTTTATAAGTAAAATTACAAGTATATATTTGAAAACAAATATATTTACTTTAACTTTAACTTTAATAGTTTTTCAATTACTGACAAATCAATATTTGCGATTGATTTATTTTGGTCTCGGAACTTGGTTCATAAGGTAAGAGTGTGTGAGGGAGGAATGCCCAATTCTTGATCTGGTGAAGGTAATTGTATCTCTTTGTGTATTTTTTATTGTTCGAGTCCATTTGTTAATACTTCTTTTAATTTGTCTTAGTTTTTTTGATATCGTAGTTTGATCCTATTTAGTTTAACATGTTTTTTGTATATTGTGGTTGATTACTTTTATTAGTTTACGAGAAAAAGAAACTAATATAAATAACTTGCATGTGAAAATGCAAAAAATACAATTATAATAATGATCCTAGTTCCAATTATAATCGAGCGAACGCCGCGTTATTTTCATTTAAGATGATAATTAAAGGCCATATGAAAAATGCAATACTTGTAAGGAAATCGTATGAATCATGTCCATACTAACAAGCAATTTGATCTCTCCTCGATATTCCTTATAGAAATAACTATTTGATACAATATATAGTTACTAATTTATTTAGAACGACTATGCGCAATACAATATTATGATAAACTTCCATTAAATTATAAAAATAGGTGAGGTCGTTAGTGTTTTATTTACAGGTGAATTATTTTCAACCTTAACATGGTTACAATTTAAAAGAGTGCATTGGTAACGTGCATAAACTTACTCTGTTATTTATAGCCCAGTTTATCTATACGCATTGTAATCACAACTATTTTTTATTAATAATGTATTTTGGTTCTTGCAATATCAACAGAATTACTCTCTTATTGAAAAATAAAATATATTATTTTTGAAATAGTTCATTTAAATTTAAATAAGATGGTTAATTCACTTTATTGAATCGACGAATCTAATTTTAACAAATTCACAATCGTTTGCTCTAATTTATACAGGTACAAGTCATCATTTATTTTTATCATTTTTGTTTATTCGAATATTTGAAATAATTGAAAAGAAATGTTGTTTTTGTACAAATTGTAAACATGATTACGTACGACCTTATGAATGGTTCAATTGAATATTATATTTTCGTATGCAACTTTAAATAATTGTTTATTTTAAATAATTGGTAACAAAGGATAATAAGACAAATGATGTCCAATCAACATAGCTGGTACTGCAAAAGTATATTTCCCTGAACTCGATTAATTTGACAAACACAAACTACAATAAGCACGTACTATTAAAATGTATAAGAAAAATTAACTGATTTTTATTTCGTTAAATTAATTAATCCAGCTTTTATAATTACCCTAAAGAGACTAAAACTTCATTAGCATTTTTAAGTTACCAAAACTGTAAAAGACAATTACCATTTTTAACATTTGTCTAGTTAAAATGTGTACATTCTAATTCGAGTCAAGATTTATATTAATGAATATTAAAATATTCATCAGTAAATATAAGCATTATAAAAGGTTTTAATTATGTTTTCTTAATACTAGACAATCGAATTCAGTGCAAAAATACCACCAGTTTTGCTGTATAAATAGGTACCACCTCTTTTTCGTAGACTGAATAAATTGTTGAACCACTTTTTAAAATATTAGGAATAAAATGTAATTTATTGAATTTCAAAGTTTAAAACTAATGTTAGGCTAATGTTTACAAGTTTAATAGTACGTATTTTTTAAAGATTTATTACAAGTCGGCCTAAACTCTGTTTTTGGCACATACTCCAATTCTCACTATTACGTTAATAGCTGTTCCGTCACGTTGCCAAGATAAAGGATTTATTTATGATATGATATCGAGTGGTTTCAACTCGTTGTCGATTATTGATAAGGAAAATTGCTTAAAAAAAATTAAACTAGACTTGTTTAGAAAAAGTGTACTTATGTTGATAATAATAAAAAATTAAACGTTTATTATCGATAATTGCAAAAGTGCAATTTTTCTTTGATACGTCAAATTAAAATGTGCACGTAGTAAAATTGAAAATAAAATTTGTCAATTATTTAGTACAACAAATTTACTATTTCAACTATAGGAAAATTTTTTATTGAATACATTTCAATTTTAATTTGATTCTACAAACGCTATACAAATTACTTATAAGTATTTCATTTTTTAAGAGGAGTGTTTGTGTTTTTGAAAAACAACAACAGAAACCGCAAGATTGAAACGAAAAAAAACACTTACTATCAAGTAGAAAGGAAATTTTTAATTAAAATATGGAACACAAAGTTGTTTTAGGACTATAAAAAAAAAACCATTGTGCTGTACATTATAAATCTAAAAATTGTACCTAAAAATGGTTATTAACTAAAATATTGAAACCGCGTAAAAAAAAATTTAATTAAAATAGTTAGCTTTTAAGTGAATATAGCACCATAAATTAATTTTCTTTTATTAAAAACCGGTGCAGCTGTTTCATACACTGCATAGATTCCAAAATAATATAATTTTTTTCATATTAATAGCCAAAAAAAAACTAAAATAAACAAATTTTTTTTTCAATTTTATTTTTATTAAAATATAACAAAATACTTGTATACGTGTATCATTATATATTTACTTACAATGTATAAATCGCAATTTAGATTCTATTAGTCTTAGACAGAGAAAAAATAACACATTTCTTTAAATTTTAACCCATAACCTATTCGAGACGAAGTAATATATTAGTTTTATAGTTTCATTTTTATTTTTTCAAGCTATACATTTAATATTGAACAAACATTTAATTTGGACTTGGGTCATAAAAATATTTTAACTTAACAAGAGGATAAAAATATAAATTACACAAATATAATAGTTTCCAACACTACACACGAAAAGACAGTAAGAAAAACTATGGACAAAAAAAATAATTAAAATTGTGTTCATTTGATACTTACGACTGTATTTTATTAAAAGCAGTATAAACGAGAAGAGTGCGTGTAGTTATACTTAACATCTCAAAATACAATTTTGATGGTACTGCTGTGATATTTCTTCTCAGCAAACCAATAGAATTTAACGCAATTTCCTCTATAAAAAATAACATTAATTTTTATTTATGTATTTTTACGAATAGAACTCTGTAATTTATTTTTTCTCAATTTTCCACTTGAATTTGTTGATTTACTGCAATAATCGTTAAAGTATTTATTTTTTTCATAGTTTTATATTTTTAGATGTAAAAACGTTTACCGACAGTTTTTGCGGGAACAAATTCTCTCTTGCTAAACTCACACCAGTACCTTAAATCATTCATATTTTAACACCTGCCATATGAACTCATTAAATTTATGAGTTGTGAAAAAAACGCCAATGTAAAATATTATAAGTGTTCACAGTTATTTAACTAAAAAGCCGTGTTTCAAAACTCCAATTAGACATTATCAACATTTTTAATAATTTGAACCTTGTTTAGTCCACTGTCAAAATTAACCGGATCGTCGGATTTAGTGTTGTGTTTGAATTGACCTCGTGTCTATAAAGCCAAACAAGAAATAACACATTCACCGCTCAGATATGAAAGACGGAGTAGCCAAACAACTGAAAATGCAAATCACATTTAAAACTTCGTGACGGGAATATGTTTTTGTTGGGGGCCAGTGGTTTAATATTTTATAATACCATAAGCAATTTACCGTTTTTAATTTTAAATCTGAATGTGACTTAATCAAGTCTCGTGAACGTAATGATAAATACTCCTTTGTGAACAACCCCAAAAGTTAATTTTATACATGTAAACTCTGCAACCCAATGAGGACAATGCAAACTGTATCAAAGGTTAAAAGAGAGATAAAGGGATCAACAAAACACGTGGTTGTTGTGAACACATAATGTTGTAATCTTGAATTTTTATTCTAATATCTTTTATGGTCATCGCTAGTGATATGCTAGTACATTGCTTTTGCCTGTACAAAGATGCACCACCTCTAAATGTATTTACGTACAATTTTATTGTGGTCAAACACAATAAACTAAAATTAACAAAAATATGTAAACATTTCACTTAATATGTATCCTATGTCACTATTATTATTTCCCCTAATTAGTATACATTTTTTTTAACGGCGTCCCGACATATTTCGTTACATTTTCAAACGATAGTATTATCTCAACTTTTTGAGATTTTAACTTGTAATTTTATCACCTAGTTTTGAAAATTCGCTTAAATTACTTTTCGCCTTACTTTTAAGCATAATTGATCAGTAAATATTTATTTATAAAATCAAATGTTACATATACAAATATTTTGAATGTTTATTGTTCAAAAATAATTTTATTTACCAATATATCGTTACAACAGACTAATTTATACGGTTTGCTGTATCGTTATTTTAAAGAAATCCACAAATAATATTTTTTGACAATGTGTGGTACTTATACTTCACTTGATGACTACTTATTTAAATCAATCGACCATAGCTTTATATTTCGACTTTTTTATACTTATTTTGTTTGTTTGCTATATGCTGGTAGATGTAATTTTGTACACATGTTGAGTATTAACAATAATGCAATTATTATTTTTTTTTACACATAAATTAACATAATACGGTAAAAATCAATTTAATTTAAATGGCGTATTATGTGTACTGCATTCCGATTCCCGGTCATACCTTGCGGGTTACCCAGTAAGTTATTTATTACAAAAAGACACTCGGATTACAGTCGACCCACATTTGTTTTTTTATCATTCGATTTTTTCTTTAAAAGTAATATATTTGGATACTGCTCAAATACATTTATATAAATGAACTAAAGCCTATTGCATTTTGCATTAACAACCAACTTTAATACAATAATGGCCAAGTATAGTTATTTATAGATTCCATTTGAACTATTTTACTTGTGTTATGTTTCTCATACTAAAATACTTCTACATACCTATTTTCGACCCCATGTCAGCACAAGTTAAACTTATTTGATTGGCCTGAAATTTTTTTTTATCATTTTTTATATGTATACACATAAATTTGGAAGAGCCCAAATTAATTATATATTAAAAATCATAAAATTATATAAAAAAATATAATTATAATAAAATATATATAAAATTATATATTATTAATTAATAATATATACAAATTAAACTAAAATATATTTTAGTTTAGTTTGTATAAATCTTTCACCAGTTCATCAGTAATGAAAATAGGGCTAATTTAACAAAATTGTGTTTTGAATTTGTCTTATGCTATCCAAATTTTAGTTTTGTATGGGTTAAAATAACTGTTTGATGTGATAAAAGTACACAATGTTTTTCAATCATACAGTGCATACAATTAAATGTTTTGAAATAGGTTGTTTATCTCACCTTTTACACTGACACAAATTGTTTGCAGTTGTCGTCACAGATGAAAATACCCTAAAATAATTAAACAGAATACACTAAAAATTTCATTTTATTTTTTTATAACTCTACTGAACTGTGTTTAAACTTGTCAGCTATAACAAAATCACGTCGGACCCATTGTTCAGCAATACTTTTGTTACTACGACCCTATGCCACTCACAATAACAACTATGTGTGGTTATATAGCAAAGACTTGTCACATATGACGCCTGCTTATATTATGTTCACGTGTAGTCACAAGACTGTTTTATTGTTACAGGTCTGACAGGAGACAATTTCCATTTCGACGAAAACGGCGACGGCCCAGCACGCTACAATATTATTCACTTTAAACAAGTAGAACCGGGTGTATACAAATGGATTAAAGTGGGAGAATATTCGGGAAATCGACTTAAGCTCAACGTGTCTGGTGAGCAAAATCATAGATTAATTAATTTAAATAAATGTGTACGCGTAAACAATTAAATAGTCAACTATGCATCGCAATGTACATAGGGGGAGCACAATGACAAATGTTTACATGCTTGATTGATAAAAAATCACTGGCATACTTATGAGGAGTATATGGGTGTTATATCCTCCAAGACAAAAATAATAACATGGTGAACACATTTTTTTTTGTTTAGAGGGGATAGTAAAAAATTGTCTTATGTACACGGTGATTTTTCTAACGCTAGCCAGTCGATTTCTCTTAAAATAACAAATATGCGAAGAAAATTATTTTTGTACTTTTAATCTCATATATTTTTGCTTTATGAATTATTAGATACTTTATTTAACTCGTCCTTTATACCTTATTAAGATGTGAACTTTATATTTTTAAACAATAACATACATATTTAACTGCCTTATAAAGTAAAAAATCACTGTCAATAACAACTTTTGATCCACTCTGTTACGGTACATTTGTGTATGTAGCACACCTTAATATGTAAGCTCACATATACATGATTACACACTGGAAGTTGTTATCAACATGCAGCGATCAGATATGTGATGATGTCTGCCGAATGACGTTCATGATATACACAACGAAATAAATAAATATGAGAGGTATTGTATAAAAACTATATATGACCGTTGGATAAAAAAATGTAATTTAATATAGCATGTATTGCTTGTGTTATAATAATATATGTACGTCATCACTCATAATATACGAGATGTTAAGTAATTTATACAAGTTTCATTAAAAAATTACGTGTGGGCATCTTTAATTACTCAACAAAAACGGCAAAACAAGTGTTGGATAACAGTTTCAATGCCCATTCACGTTATTATGGCGAATGAAGCAGCGCACGCAAGTCAGAGGACACTTGTATGAATCATATCATTATATACACACATTGTTATCCCTCACGCATAACTTTAAGTAAAGCTTAAGAATAGCTAACCAAAAATGGTATTGATCAGATTTATATATTGGAGTAAAAATTCATTTGGATAAAAATAATTGGTTTTTTGTACATATGAAATTTAGATAAATTACTCCAATTTTTTTTTTGCACAAATGTGAATAAAAAAAAATAACAAATATCCAACAATTATAATTTAAGCAGTCATGCTAAGGTGGGCGTATAGCACCTCAGCATGACTCATTTAAAATTCAGCTCTGAATCCACAACTGACTCATAAAACATAGACTTTAATAAAGTTGTTTAATAAATCATGACACATTACAGCTAATAATTTGCTATTTCAATACAAGTTTTGTACAGAAGTAGTTACACCATCTAATGATAAATTAATATATTGCTTGAATGTGATACCTAAATCGAGAACTTCAAATTCAATCTAAATTCAAAATGTACGATACACATAATTTATTTCTTAAAGACGTGACGGTTTCGTAGAGATTTTGACAATGATGATTAATGAACCACAATAAAATATTGCCTGCGATCGTGTCGTAGGTTAAAATCTCTTTATGTTTTTATACGAAATCTCAAAAATATATCGATAGAATATTAATTGCTAACATAAACAGACCAGATAGGTCATATATTCTATTTGGTATATCATATATACCAGGTAGAAACATAGATCTATGGAAAGATCTCAAACCAGAAATATTTATTTGAAAAATGTTGGATATTAATTTTGCAGATGTTTTCTTCAATATTACAACACATGAAACATTTATAAAATCTGTTTTAAGTAATTGCAACGCACATGTATTTCACGTTACCTCGATACGTTTCAAATTATTTACCCGTGAAGAAAATGCTTAATCAATACACATACTTTAACAGCTAATTCCCTAAACTGTCTTATGAGTAAAAATAATAATATCGAGTACACATTCTTACACTCGACTAAACGTAAGTACACCAACAGCAAAATACCCACTAAGACATGGTTACTAAATATTATCATTAAAGAATATCATCAATTTACTTTCAGTATTTGTGAGGTTTTTATTAAGAAATTTACTTCGTTTACAAATGCGAATATGTAGAAATTGTGTTCATTCAAAATAATAGTCTCTGATTCAACTTGAAAATTAACGTTTTTCTAGTGAAAATCATTGATAAAAAATTTAATATTATTTAAAAAACAATTTTTTTTTTAATATCGCACTTTTCATATTGAAATGTCTGTCGTTATTTTTAAATTGTTATTTAAAATGCATTCAAATTTTTAAACATAATCATTTTTTAATTTATTTATATTATAAACACCTTTTGTAATATCTAAAATATAAATCTAATTTGCAGAATAATTCTTTTGGTTGGTTAACATTTGCTAGTTATACAAATTGTACTGGTTTTTATATTATTTGCTTCACTCTTAAAAAAAAATGTTCGAATTTTCACATGCATATATTAAAAGTTTTTAGGGCGTATAATGTAAGAGAAAATTTTGATTAATAGTAATAAAAATGTCACATTTGTGTACGAATTTGCAATATTTTAATTAAAAATTACACTACTTCTGTGTAGAGATAACATTTGTATTAAAATTACCACACTGACGTATTGGAAATATTTGATCATTTCTCATTGTAGTGTAACCCATCATCAAATTAATGAGTTGTCGTTGGGCGATACTTCAAATTTTAACAGCAACAAAGATCACTATTACGTTATACTATTTCAATAAAGGGTTATAAAATATTTTTTAAATCGAAAAATAAAGATATTAAAAACATTATTTTAGTAAATTAAACTTAAAATATACATTAAAATTAAAATTATGTAATCATCATTATTTATTAAGATTAGAAAAAATACATTATTAATATCCCTGTTGCATAGTTACTTCAATTATTAATTATTTATGAATAATAATTATTACAACTCATAAATAACTAATTATTATTACCCATACATAATTTATTATGGAAGTAATTATGCAACACAAATATAAATAATTTATAATTACTAATCTTAATATATATTGATTGTATAATTTTAGTTTAGATGTATATTATAGGTTTAATTTACTAAAAAAATCGTAATTATTAAAATCAAATAAGTAATTCGCATTAGTTTATAACAAAAGGGACGTATTTTTTTATAATTCACTTTTGTAAAATAATTTGAACGGTTTTTAACGATTATTTTGACGGATTATTTTTACTTTCTGATTATTGTTACATTACCAGAATTTCATTACTCATCTTTTGCTATCAAAACTTGCTCATTGATCTGGAACATTTTCCAATATCATAAATAAGTATTAAACGTGATGAATTTAAGCCGTTTTGTTACACTTTGCTGCCCATATTTCAAGGACTTACTTAAATATAAAATTAAATAATTATTTTGAAAAAAAAAAATTAACTTAAAAAAATAATTATTCATTTAAATATTAGTATAATATATGATATCATTATAAAAATTAAATTAACTTAATTACAGAACTATTATTTTTAATTTTTAGTTTTAGTTTTTTAAATGAAAATACGAACTACATTAAAAATTGAAATGTACCACGATGTCTTTATATCAATTGATACATTAAATAACACTGAACCGAGGTTTAAAATGAATAGTTATACTTAATGTAATGTAAATGTAAACTTTTCAATCAATACATTTTTTTTCATTGAAAATTTCAGAAAATTTTCAAAAGTGGTAGAAAAATTAAAAAGTTATGGGTTATATGTCTAAGTGTTTGTATAAAATATAAAAAATTGTTTATTATTTAATTATCCTGATAGTAATTAATGGTATGACTGTATCACAAATGTTTAAACTGATATAAATAACAATTAGATAATTGATAATAGTCTATTAGACTTATTTTGAAACTTAAATTACTATACATTTTCAATGTTTACTTGCTAGTAACTAAGATTTCTACTTTCTATTTATTTATATATATATTTTAAAAGTATCTATTATTTCATATGAGATCTTTTCTTTTACAATAATTTTGATTACAAAGCTTAATATCGTTTTCATCATTTTATCCCATAGATAATAAAAAATAACAAAAACAGACATTTTTAGGAAACTTATATTTTGTCCTTTAGATAAAAAAAAAAAAAGATATAACATTGAAGAATTGCTAATACAAATTTTTGACTTATAATTCATTCACAGAAGTCTAAAAAAATTGTAGAAATTAACCTTATATGATTGCCCTACATTATTCTATTTTATGATAAACATTATATAATTTTTTATTTTCAGAAGTTAATAATATTTTACTGTTCATATATTTCAAAAAGAAGTTTCATTCTATCATCTTCTAACCTTTTAAAATTTTATCGACTTGTATTTTTTTAAAGTAAACAATATTTAATTAGTTTAAAAATAAGATCATGACACTTTACTAAGAATAACAACTTTTGAGTCGGTATTTTGTAAGTTATTAAATAATCAATATAAAGATTGGACGTAATGAGCAGATTTGTTAAGTTATATTTTAAGGCATTTATAACCCGCTTTATTCTTATCAGCCTGGTATAATAATGCTAATCTTTTAAAATAATGGTTCAAAAATTGTTATCGACCAGTCAATTTATTTCTTGAATAATATATTATTTGTAAATTATATAAACATGTTTAAATTGAAAAAAATTTGAGCAGATAAGAAAGTGATAAAACCAATTTTTTTATTCTTTTAAATAATAAGTAGTAGAAAAAATCGAGGTTCTAAGTCAAAATAATTAATTTTACAAATAAAACGATGATCTGAACTAATTTTATACGAGCCACTTTTTTTGTAAACATAATTTTTTATTTCATATAAGAATTTGATTTATTTCTTTCATGAGATTATAGAAAATAATCTTTTTAATAATACTTCTATATGAATTCATATGTAATTTTTATAGTTAATGGAGGTGTGTTCAGAATTTGGGAACCTAAGCCCCCAAATTTTCCAAAATTGCGTCTTTATTAAAAAAAATTAATAAATAGTAAATACTACAAGAGAAATTTGACAAAAGTTTCCATG